ACATATGTAAAGATTTGAAAAAAGAAAGACAGCTGAATGAGAGCAGTGGATCATTAAAGGGAGAGCGAGGGTCCCTAGGCATCACTTGTGTTTTAAGAAGCATTGTGTCATTCCCATATTAACGTGCTTTTTCTCTTTCTTTCTTTTTTTTTTTTAAAGCCATACACAACTTCTACACAAATAAGGAAAAGAAATCTGTTTCAAACCAAATAGTTGTGGTTTAATTGCTCAGACGGTTTTGTTCTTTATTTGAAAATGAAAGCATGTTTCCTACATGGTTGTAATTGTAATTTTACTGTTACCTTGAAATCATACCATGAAAAATGATCAACCAAGTTAATTTAATGTCTGTTGAGACAACTAATATAACTAGGATTTATCCAGTTTCCATTTCACTTACTACACACATCTGGCAAAATTATTCAACTAAAAAAATGTTTTAATGTTAAAAAAATGGAGTAAGGAGGTAATTTTGGGTACCTTATCATAAGATAAACCACACTAAAAGCAATTAGGTGACAGTGAAACAGAAATTATGTACTATCATTTATCTGCCAACAGAAATAGAGGTTGTTTTCAAGATTGAAATGTAGGTAAATAATTAAGGATATCACTTCAGCCATACTCAGTAATTTGCAAGGAGTCTATTTTGATAGTAGAAAAAGGTCAAATTTGTCAATTTTAAAATTTGGTGGCAAGACACCGTTGCCTTTTACCACTTTTATTTTTATTTATGGAGAATGTTTAACTCTTACACTAATAATTCTGAGTTATCTTGGATTATGGAATATGATGGGACAGTTTTGATTGATGAGGACTCTCCCTAGCATTGACCAATGACATTTCAATTTAGCCAAGTTCTCAGATTACTTAAATTATTCTTCTGAGGGGAAAAAAAAATGGCCTGAAACATTTCATATATTTGGGGAGATTACTAGAAAGTGCTCTAAAAAGAACACCAAATGAGGTTTAAATGCCTTCTTTGGCATCCTTTTAAATACATATGCATAACTAGCTTTAGGTTCAATAGCAGTCATTAGGATGTCATTCCGGTTGATACAAGAAGTTACAGCAGTAGCAAATTAATCTCTAAATCAAACAATTGCACATCCGTAAGAAACAGAGCTCCTGTTTTAGAAGGCTTGATTGCAGATTTTGGTCATGAGAAGGATCATGCAGCTGCTTAACAGAGAGCAAGCTTTTCTTCTGTTTCTTTTCATTCCATTTTAGGAGAAAAGTATTTTGGTATCTTTTATGACCATTACTTTGAGTATTCTCAAATATTTACTTTTTTACACAATTATTCCCCTTGTTTATCAAAATAGAACTGAAAAACTATAAGAGGATTTCATATATTAGTTTTATAAATCAGGTATTAAGGTTAATAGGCTTGGTATGAAAGCGTGCTTTTTCTGGCTAAACAACAATGATTTTTTTTCTGGAAGTATTGCACATTTGTGAGTAGAGTATTTTGATATGTTAAAACGCTTTTCTTCAGGGTAGGATGAAGACTTAGGATATGTGAATAAGTACTGAAGGGAAAAATGGTGTGCCAAAGACTCACTCAAGTACATACTTCTTTTGTGTGTCAAAAAATATGTACCAAGTCTTAGCTAGTCGGGACAATAATCAGATAGCTTTGCATGTGATATTTTTTCTAACTTGAGTAGTTCTTTGTTGTCACATGTGATTTACATTTCATAATTGTTCATTATCATAAGCAGTCTAATTCAAAAAGCAGCTTTGGATTTTGGAATACCCAGAAATTATGGAATAATAAATGTTGACATTGAATATTTTTGTTCTTACTGATTTTTGTTGTTGTTGTTGTTGAAAAGCTGTGATTTATGACTTTGCTTAAGATCTACTCAATCAAATTACAGGTTGACTTTTTCTATATTTGTAATTGGTGCATTACAATTATATGTAATGGTGAGATTTGCTGCTACATATTTGTATATGCACACAACATAATAACTTTTCATCAATATCTTTCCCCGGTATTTCCTCTTTCCCTTCTCTCCTCCCTCCCCTAGTCCCTTTCCTCTAGTTTGCTGATCTTTCTGCTACTTATTTATAGTTTTTTAAATTAGTGTCTTGTAATGTAAAGATTTCCTGTGGTATATTCATATATGTACATAAGAAAGTTAGATCAGATTCATTCCACTGCCTTCCTCCATTCCATCCTTCCTTCCTTCCTTTAATTCCCCTTTGTCTACTCCACTGATCTTTCCTCTATTCTCTTTTTTTTATATCCCACAATGTTATTTTGGATTAGTTTCTACATATCAGAGAAAACATTTGAATTTGACTTTTTGGGACTGGCTTATTTCACTTAGCATAATAGACTCCTCTTCTACCCATTTACCTACAAATGCCAAAATGCTATTCTTTATGGCTGAGTAATACTCCATTGTGTATATATACCACATCTTATTTATCTATTCATTTGTTAAAGAGCACCTAGGACACCTCCACAGTTTAGCTACTGTGAATTGTACTGCTATAAACATTGATGTCATTGCGTCACTGTAGTATGCTGATTTTAAATCTTTTGAATATTTGAATATATATATATATATACATATATACATACCAAGGAATAGGAGAGCTAGGTCAAATTATGGTTCCATTCCTAGTTTTCTGAGGAATATGCATACTACTTTCTGGAGTGGTTGTACCCAACAGCAATGTATGAGTATATCTTTTCCCCCACATCCTCGCCAACATTTATTGCTACTTGTATTCTTGATAATCACCATTCTGACTGGAGCCAGATGAAATCTCAGTGTAGTTTTAATTTGCATTTGTTTAATTGCTAGAGATGTTGAATATTTTGTCATATATTTGTTGACCATTTGTATTTTCTTTGAGAAGTGTCTATTTAGTTCCTTTGCCTATTTATTGATGGTTACTTGTTTGGGGGGTGTTAAGGTTTTTGAGTTCTTTGTATATCCTGGATATTAGTGCCCTATGTGAGGAGCAGGAGGCAAAGACATTTTCTCATTCTGTAGGCTCTCTCTTCAGAGCTCTTGATTGTTTCCTTTGCTATGAAGAAGAACTTTCTAATTCAACGCTATATCACTTATTTATTTTTTATTTTACTTCTTGTACTTTAGGAGTCTTGTTAAGGAAGTCATTTCCTGAGCCAACCTGTTGGAGTGTTGGACCTACATTTTCTTCTAGCAGTTGCACTGGTCTTTTAGGAAGTGAACACCAGAGCCTGCACCCCACTGCCAAGGCCAAAAAACTCTGCCTCTCCAATGACTGGAGGGTCTCCACTTCCCTCGTGTGGCTGACACCTTGCATTGGTAACTTTCTGAATGCAAGCGTAGCAGCTCGTATATCTGCCTGTAGCTACTGAGGTGTCATGGAATGCGACACAGGAATTTACCAAAATCTGTATGTTCAGTAATGCTGGTAGCACAAACAGATATTCACCATTTTTGTTTCATTTTCATTATTCAAAGAAGTAAATTCACTTGTCCTTCTAAGTGTCATGTTATTAAAACGGTCTCTGATATTTTCACTATAAATGTTCTGCTTTTCATATGTTGGTATTTACTGTATCTGGAATTTTTGTGTATGAGGCACAATGCACATGAATGTGCATCTACCTGCATGTTTGGAGTTGACTGTTCCATTGGTTTATCTGTCTGTGCCTGGTCAAACGCCACACCATGATTTCATACCAAGATGTCATATCTAATAATTAAGTTCCACTATCCTCTTTGTCTTCCTTAAAATTTACTGGTGGTTCTTGACTCCTCTTCTTTATTTTTGGATAAGCTTTTCCATTTCCCTAAACAAACTTGTTAGGAATGTTAATAGGAATTTCATTAACTAAATAAACTGGGAAGAATTAACATATCAATAGAATTCACATACTTATACTCACTCCTTTTATTTGAGTCTATTTTATGCTTTTCAGTAATGTTTTGTCATTTTTTTACCATAAAAATCTCTGCCCACTTTTTCTTAGTGTAATTATAGACATGTAACAGGCTTACTTTTTTTGTGGGGGGGGAAGGGGAGGATCTTTTTTTCTTTCTTTTTTCTATTGCCAGGGTAAAGAGTAAATTTTCTTGTATATTTCTTGATTGGCTACTGTTGGCGTATTGAAACATTGTTGATTTTTATGTGGTTGATCCTACATCCTGCATAAATCTGGCTAAATTCTTAATTTTTTTGAAAGTATAGTTTTTAAAGAATATTCCAGAACATTTGAGTCTGTGCACATCTCCACAATATTGTTTCTTCCTTTCCAGAATGCAGACCTATTCCCCCCCCACCCTTATTGATTGCTTATGCAGGGAATTCAGTGCCCTGTTGCCTAGGAGGGGTGAGTGGGCATTCTTAGCTGGGTACTGACCTGAATCACAGTATTTCTAATTGCCAATGTTGTTTCAGTTTAAAGGATTTCTCTTGTTTTCCTTACTTTTCATAAACTGTTTATTTTAAAATCAAATTAATGAATAAATATAGAAAAGATTTTCTTCTCAAGGTTTTAGAATTAAAAAATGAAGAATATATTCCTCTTTTTATTGTTCAGGTTCACATCCTGAATTCATTGTTCCATTCATTTCAAAAGATAATTGAATAGTTTATCATTATTAGGAGTATCTGGATAATACCAATGTGTCTACAGTGCCCAAAGAGGGTCCTACATTTAGAAAAGGTTCAACTTTTGCTGAATGAATCCTGATTTACTTTTTCATAGTTTTGACTTCTTAAATATCTTCTAGAAATACCAACAACAATATGGTTTTTCTGCTTGACTTTTTATATCCTTGTATAAAGTGCTCCCACTTTTCCTTTTTTGATCTTTCTTTCTTCTCCCCCCCCCCCCCTCTCTCTCTCTCTCTCTCTCTCTCTCTTTGGTTTTTAGTTTTAGTATCATGAGTAAAACCTCAAATCTTGATGAGGGAATGCATGTTTGTGATTGTAAAATAGTAATTTCTTTTCTGATATAGATACACTTTTCCTGTGTTTTAATTTAGCCCAACCTCAACGCTTGCCCCAGCTGCAGACTTCAGCACAGGAACCTAGAGAGGAGGAAATAGTCAATATGAAGAACGGAGGCCACACGAGTCTGAGCAACGGAAATGGAATTCACCATGGGGCCAAACATGCATCTGCAGATAATCACAAACTTTCAGCTCCTGTTTCCCAAAAAGTGCATAGAAAAATTCAATCCAGCTTGTCTGTAAACAATGATATCAGTAAGAAGAGTAAAGTAAACGCTGTCTTTTCCCAAAAGACAGGTTCTTCACCTGAAGGTAAGTGTGAGAAAGATGCATACTGCATTTGACCCCATGTAAATCATATTCACTGATACTTATTTGATCAAGCAATCATGATTGAAAATTCTTGTCTATTCCTCAAACAACAAATTTGGTAAGATGCTGCTTCAGTTCTTCAAAGGAAAGTACAGGATACAAGGAAGAATGGAAAGCTGAAACCCTGCTTTTAGACTATCATCTTCTAGAGCGAGTAGTCATTATTTTAACTATAACTGCTATCTTTTTTTAATGCCACATTTAAAAATATGAATATAACATTTTGGTGGCATATATAAGTGTGTGTGAGTATCTTTTTCCGTTCTTGATGCAATATGTTATTCTGTACTGTACAGATAAGATTACCTGCCTGTATTTTTGTCTTGCAAATCGGTTCTTAAATATGCAAAGCTGAAATGAGAAAAAGTTGGGGTAATTTCTTGCCCTTCTCAGGGAGAAGACCAGCTGATCTATGTCCCTTGCTGACTGTCTTCAGTCTCCCTGCTGCTATCACCCTGCCTACACCCCTCCCTCTCCTTTCCCTGCCCCATTCAACCTCACTGTGCTCCTCCCTTAGTTCCTCCCTTTTACATACTTGGGCTGTGCTCTTTGATGCCTGATACAGATACACTTTTGTTGGTCTGCAGAGCTAGTTATTACTTCTCTGGTTTTACCTCATCCTGCCGTTGGCTGAGTTAAAGTCATGTTAAATACTATGTACCTGAGAGAGTTTTTCTTTACTATAGAACAAATTCATACGAAGACGATTAACCTGCACACACTTTTTATATGGTTCATTGTATCATATCAAAGAAAGTTCTCCATATTAAGATACCAAATTTCTCCCAGGTTATCCATGGTCCTGTGCTTTTCTTCCTTTCTCCCGTTAGTGGTTCTTGGGAATCTAAAACCTTGAATCTGTCATATATATTTGGCATACATGTATATGTGTGTCTGTGTCTGAGCACATGTGCATTGCACCTTTTGGTGTGTTCATGCTTATTCCCTATACCTTTTTATTTTAATTGCCATGAAATTCAAAATAAAGAGAATTCTATGAGATTCCTCTGTGAAGTTGGCCATGCCTTTTCATGGAGATAAATTGAGTTGTAAATAGAAAATTGTATTGAGAGTCACCTGTAATAAGTGGGAGAAAAGGATATTACATTTTGGCTACAGGTGTCTTAAACTCAACTGAGGCAAAGTGTTAGATTGATCAAATGATATGATAATAAATGGTCTGCATAGTTCCAGGTCAGTGACACTACTTTCCAAACTAATTAGATTGAAAGGGACATGATTGACATTTTAAAATGAGTTTGACATGTAAGCCGCATGGTCATCTCTGAAGTATAGGTAGGCTGTTAACTAAACTGGCTCTCCGAGGAGTTGGAAAGGCGATGCAATTTTCTTTAGAGGATCTTCACTTCTCAGTGATTGGGTGAAATAATTGAATGCAATTGAAATCTACTTGTTTTATACATTTGAATTTACTTATTACCTCCCTAGCCTCTTATTTTTCCATTTGATATTTACTTATTTTAGTATTAAAGAATGATAACATTTGCATATCAGTCCAACTTGAAATGGGTTATGGAATTTTTCATTATTGCTTGCTTTTAATATCATGTCTGAATTTATTTCTAATGTAAGAATGCAGCTTCGTAAGTAACACATGAAGGAGGATGAAAATCAACATTATAGAAACAAAATACAGTTCTACTCTTTCTTTCCCTCTCCCTCTTTTGACCCATACCCTCCATCTTGCCCTCTTCTCCTTTTCTCTGACCCTCACTCTTACTTATGACTGACCACAAAGATCTGGTTAAGGAGAGTCCTTTGTGATCTGCTCTTATCACAAAAGAACATTCCAGATTGAGTTGGGGCATAAGGAGTATGAAAAAAGAAATGAAGGTGTCTAAATATATTGTATAAAGTCTAAACCAGGTCTTTACTGTTTGGGTATAGAATTTAGTCAGTTATAAGTTTATTTTGCGATTACCTGAATCTCAACTAAAATTCTATTGGCCTGTTTCATATTTTCTCAAAGTTAAATATCTTCATGATTTTTGCCATTTTTAAGGTTATGCTTTAAATTTTTGTTATTTCTTTTGAATTTCAATTTTGAAGTTAAAATTTGTTCTCTGTCAATGTGCTATAATAACAAAGTAATCAAATAAATAAATAATTCGCTGGGCTGATAGATGACATATTAAAAGGAAACACATCACTAAGTAGCTGTGGGGGACTTGGTTCTTCAGGGCCTGCTTTTTCTACAAAACAAAGGGTTTTGATTAGATAAGTTTTAAAATTAAGTTTGGCTTGGGGATTTTGTGATTTTTCTTTCACAGCAAAAGTGCTTCGCTCTCGGGACAGGTCTCTTGCTCTACAGAATATTCAGTCCCTAGATGAGAAACCATCTAAGACATGCAGTGCAGATAGGGGCAATGGCAGAGACAGTTTTGATGAACTGGAATGGTACCTGATTTCAGGAGGCCTGTGGGTCTGAATAGGATGTCGTGAACAGGCTTGATTTGTTGCATGTATGAAAATGAAAATGTTGAATTGGGTCTCTGTCCTTTTAAAATGTAATGACAATGAGAAGATTTAATGGCTAGACATTTCACAGTTTTGTGTTTTCCTGTTTCACTTTTTCCTTAAGTCTTCATCATCTGTTCCTGCTGTTTTGAAGCAAGTAAGCAAACAAATTGCAAAATAATATTAACTGAGAATATCAAACGTGGCCCACCAATCAGGTCCACTTTGATAATATATTTTATTTTTGGTCACATGGTACTTATGAATTTTGTGTTGCATATAAAAAATATTGACCATTTGAGGGCCATCTTTCTTGTTCAGAGGATGGAATAAACTTATTTAATTCTTTCAAAGTGATTCATTAAGAACAGAGTGGCCTCCCTGACTAAGTGTGGAAAGCCCTATTAGGGTGTGGGCCTATTGTTTGTATACAGGGAAGGATTGAAGAAGCCACATAATTGAGTGTGTAAGCTGTTGAGATATTTTAATATGTCTTTGTGGGTTACCTAAGGCCTGGGTGCCAACATGCTTGCCTTTGGTTAGACTCTGGAAGCTGTGTTGGTCCGTGTAGTAAGAAAATGGCATCTATGTACCAGAAATGGTTCCACCTGCCTTGCTCATATGGAATCACTTAATCCTCCCAATAGCACTGCCATTCTGTGAACTGCATGTAAGTATCAAAGTATAAGTGAGGAAACTGAGGCACAGAGGGCTTCATGGAAGCCACTGAAGTCAAGTAGTACAAGGTAAAACTGTGATTTAAAAGCAGACATTCTGTCTCCATAGCCCATGCTCCTAAACATTATGATATTTGGTTTACTAAAGTTGTCTGAGAAAAGGTAAAGTACTGGCCATGGCAAGGTCATATCAGATGTTACTGGTGATATAGCTGTGGACCAGGAAGGGAGCCACTGTGTATATATGTTTGCCTTCTTTTTTTGTGTGTGTGTGATACTGGAGATTGAACCCAGGGCCTTATGCATTTGAGGAAAGCACTTTACCACTGAGCTACTTCCCCAACCCCTGTGTCTGCCTTCTTGAAGCTCTTCTTCTGAATATTTGAAAAACAACTCTCACACCTGCATTCTCTCTTGTTTTTCTTCCCTTCTAGACTGTCTATTCCTGAAAATGTTGAATTGGGTCTCTGAGTCCGTTTTTTTTTTTTTTTTTAATTTCAAAGTGGCACCAAGTATAATAGCTTCACAGAGTTTCCTATGAGTTAACAAGTAATATAATACTGTATTCCAGACCACTTTATCCTGTTCTTCCTTGAAATCAGAACTGGAAAATGAAATATGTGCTCATATTCACTGATTTTTTTTTTAAAGTTTCTTTTTTGCACTAGAGGAAAAAAATACTCATGTGGGAAAATACTGCACATTTTACTAAAAGGTTATTAAATTAGTAGATCTCTACTTGTTTTGTATAATTAAATATTTTCATACATACTTAAATTTTCTGATTGCATCACCCAGGTGGAGAGTTTTAAGACTAAATGTGTAAGATTCTTGACCTTTGAAATAATTATAGTATAATTTAGTATCATATAATATTCAAATTGCCAAGGGTTTTCATTAGACTCTAAGACATTTTTCTTATCATAAAAATGGTAAATTCTAATACGTTTTAGGCGTGCCATTTATAGCTATATAGTTTTGTAAAAATTAGCTTTCAACAAAAATATTTTTCAAAGAGATTTTGTACTTTTCAGGAATCCCTGATAGTTTATTCTCCATACGTGGTAGTCTATATTTAGTATTTAAAGAGAAATATGTATCCAGTTTTAACATATTGCTGACCATAAATTCTGAACTAGACAGTGAAGAGCTCCCTATATGTAGCAGTGATTGGGGTCATCTCATTTTTAGTCATATAGAGGCTGTGGTCTAGTCCCTAAAACACAGATTCTAGAACCAGTCTGCTTAGATTCACATATTGACTTTACAGATCAGTGATGTGTCCCTGGAAGGCTACTTAATTCAACTCTCTGTGCCTCAGTGTCTTATCTGTAACATGGGAATATCTTCCCTACCTCCCTCATAGTGTTGTTATGAAGAGGAGTTGGGTTGAGGCTGTGCAGTGCTTGGAACACATGCTCACCCAGCTGAAGTATTCATTAAGTCTTGGCTGCTGTTATGATCATCATTATTAAGAAGCCGAGAGGGGGCAGAAATGTGAGCTTCCTGGAAAAGGCAGTGCCCAGATGGGGACCAGAAAAATAAGGAGGGCTTATGATAGGGAGTGGAGGGTAGAGATAAGTGTTCAAGGGTAAAAGAGCTTGAAGAATTAATGTTTTGTTTTGGAAAACCATTAAAATAGTTTGCTATTGCTGAGAAATTGAATTAGGAGAGATGAGACTTGGAAAGGAAGGTCAGTCCATAAGCATCCAGGGAAGCCCTGTTGTTTTGAAGCGACAGCCAAGGCCTGCATGATTTCTCTGAAGGACATCATTTTATATCCTC